TGGATATCGGGTGGAACTGATTGCCTCCATGTTCAAAATGTTTGAAATGATGTTCTGCAGGGGAAGACTTGTAAAAATGTGTACAGCAGACCATATCTTCAGACTGTGTCATACGCAGCAGTCAGAACAACAGAAACTGCTGATGTCTTATGACACTTCTGACACCCTGTGCCCTCGATGGAAGTTGTTACGCTGAGAACCTGGCCTTCACAACTACGACAGGGTCTAAATCCTGCTTGCTCTACAGGGACAGGTTCGTTAATTCTGTCACTGATTCCGTTCAGGAATCAGGATTAGCCTCTTGAGGAGTTTATAACACAAGCTCAGAAGGGAAATAGTATAATACCATACCAGGGAAACTGGATTATTTTTTTTAAGCAGGCAGAAGGCTACCCACGTCTGTGTTTTGTATTGCTACGGTTCAAGTCGTCTTGTTTAAAAACCTCACTTTATCGTAAGTAAAAACAGCTTCAAGAATTGCACTCTTCACAGAAGTCTCCCAAAATTATGAGGTCCAAGGCCACTTTATATGGTGCATTTCTAGGCACATGCTGGGTACTGCATCGTGCCAGAAAACACATCTATCAATGCTAGAAGAGCCAGCACAGTGTAGCAGTTAAAGTGTCGGATCTGGGAAACCCAGGTTCGAATTCCCACTCTGCCACAGAAGCTTGCTAGGCCAGTCACCGTCTCTCAGCCTCACCTACCTCACAGGGTTGTTGTGAGAATAAAAGGAAGCAAGAAGAATAATGTAAGCTGCTTTGGGGGCCCATTGGGAAGAAAGGTGGGATTATAAGTAAAATAAAATAAACTCTCTCATGTCCGGGGATTGTGAAGCACGGGGCTTTGTGACAAATGCAAGACCTGCCATGGATTGATCCATATGAACCATCGAGAGACTCGTCAGTCCTGCAATTTCACTCTACTGAAAGAGACTTGCTAATGGGTGTGGTGATGCCTTGGCAAAAAGAGCAAGACAGATCTGACCCATTCAGAGGAGAAAAGAACCTGGCGACCGTTCATTTGCAAAGGCACAGTGTTTCCAAGATCTCATGTCATCATCCATTTCAACCAAAATTTATAAAAACCTTCCTGGAACCACAAGAACTGACTCTTGCAATTGCCTACTGCTTTCTAAAGATCTTTGTAGATAGCTTTTTTAAAAAAAAGGCCTTGTGGATTATGCCAAGAAAAAGGAATTTCTGGCTGGCTAGGCCTGCTATTTGCTGGCTGAACACACCCTAAGTCACTGCAGAGCCATAAATTTCAAGATGGGGGGGGGAGAGAGAGAGAGAACAACTTGGTCTGTCTGGCCTCCCTGTTGTTGGCTCCTTCTACGTGCAGACTCCACCAGGCTCAATCAGCAGTCAAAGAAACAGGCCGACCCCAAAGAGTGGCCCTATTGCTGAGCAAGGGACTGCACAAGATCTGAAGAAAGGGGCGCTCCCTCGTATTGCATGGATATATGCAACAGCACCCCAGCGGAATCTGCCTGCCAAGCTATGCTCTTTATGCATCAGGTACTGGCAGAGATGTGCAGCTAGCTACGCCCTCCTGCATACTAAAGCATATACTGCAATGTAGGTCATCCGGAGGTGAAGGAGGGTGGGGCAGCAGAGAAATACCCAAATCCATCTTTCTAGAAGCCCAGGCTCTTCCAAGAGGTAAAAAACCTGGTTTTTTGGTTAGGAAAAGTACAATTTCCAGTTAACGGATCCATCAGGTTTGTACCTCAGTTTTTAACACTTCTCTGA